ACATTACAGAGACATACTCTAGCTCTCACTGATTTCACCAGGATCCAAATTTCATCCCAACTGGCAAAGTATAGTTACAGAAAAAAAAAAATACAGACAGATGCACATATACATACACACATATAATGTCACAAGGCAATTTAATCTTCAGTCATGCAATTTGTAAAAGCCAATTACATATTTTGGACACATACTTTGTCAGTAAAGCAATAACTGACTCCTCAGATATTTGTCTAAATTCAGGTTTAGGCTGAAACCATTTGAAATTGAAAGATGTGCCAGAGGTGGATTAGACATATTTGGCAATTATGCAAAACGATGGAAGGTGACCAACCAAGGAAACGATGATATTAAGCCTATCTAAATTAGTGTGACAACAAAATCAGAGGTCCAATTTGACACCTCATTTCCAATGTAGAGAAAATTACCTTGGAAATGAGATCTGGTACCCCTCAGCTCCTAGTAGCCTGTGTGATATTCAAATCGGGCTCTTAGCACGTATATGATCATTTCAGTTTACATCACGGTCACAGGTCAATTCTAAGTGCTTATTCAAGACACCAGGAACGCAGCTGACTGGGTATTGGGCACAACTGTCTTTATCCCGCTCTGCAGGGCGTCTTCCCATCTGGCATCAAAGTTCTTCAAGGCAGGGACTAGGTTGTCTTCTGTCTGTTCGGGAACGCAGTCCTCAGAAGCATGTCTTCCCAGTATTACGGGTCAAGACCTGAGCACTGGGGAGCCTGACCACCTTCCCAGTTTGCTCTCAAGTAAGACACGGGTGAATAGGTGTGAAAATTCAGCTTTTGAGGCATTATTATGTTATTAAAAAAGCTGTCCCTGATGCTCTCAGTTCCTTGAAGGTTCCCAAAAGTTTGGGGAGGGTTCTGACAAGCAGTACATTGCAAACACTGAGTGCACTGCTGGAAGCAGTCTGCTACCAGAACAGCAGCCATATGCCACGCTGGGAATGCCCAAAATCTTCCCAAGCAGCTGGGCTCTGGGTATGGGAAAGAGGAAGCGCCTCTCTGGATACTCTGAAGGGCTAAGCAGCTCCTCCCAGCTTTAAGACTGCAGCCTTCTCCTACTCCCAGCAGCCCCAGGAAGTCTGGTTCCTCATGTGACAGGTCTTGTTTCGATATGCTGAAAATTCAGGCTAAAGCCTCACGTACATTTGCAGGCTTGTGCCTGTTGCCTGTGGATGGTTGCACGAGAGACGTTGTTCTGATACAACTTTCAGTTAGCAGTATGGATTTGACTGCTACAGCTTTAATGGTGTGAGACCTAACGGCAGCATCAGTTGCAGAGCAGGGGAAATAATTTCATTGTTCATATACTGTTTTGGGGGAAGTGAAAATTCACCATTTACATGGTGGACCTAGAACTCCTGCTTTAATTATACCAGTCTAATTAAAGCAGCAAAAGCCTACTGTACGAAAGAGGATTCATTGTCATACTGGTTCTAGACTGGTTCAACTTGCATTAGAATTATACTTCTTTGGGGCAAGATTCGTATTGCACTGCCACTTCCCACTGAGCCACGTTGGGAGTAAAGGTCTTAAAAGAAAGGCTTTTGAAATTTTGCTTTCTAAGGAAAATCTAGTTCTTCAGTCCTTTTTTATATCAGTTACAGTAGTGTCATTTGACTGAGCCAAGTCAGAGTTTTAGTTCTGATGACAAGTCACGGCTTCTCTTTGCATTAGGTGCACTCAATGGATTTTGACGACACATGGCATCCAGCCACACACCCGTCTGGGGCTGTGCTCCCTGCCGTGATTGCACTCTCGGAGGCCTTTCCTCAGAAGAAAAAAATCTCAGGTCTCGATCTGCTCTTAGCTTTCAATGTGGGAATCGAAGTGCAAGGCAGGCTGCTGCGCTTCTCCAGCGAAGCTCGGAATATCCCAAAAAGGTACGTAGAAATGCTTCAAGTAGAAAGTTGAGTGGAAGGGTTTCTTTTTCTTGGTGTTAATATGCTTAATTAAATGCCAGTTAAAATACAAGAAGTAGCACAGTTAATCGTATTTTCTATGTTGTTTGTCTGGAAATTTAGGAAAGGTTCATCTTAAACATAAATACACTTACACAACTCCTTGCGGCTTAGCAAATAGATTTCTTTTTTGAGAGCATTGATCAGTTTACAAGAAGGAGGTGATGATCTCCCTGTTTATTAAAAACAGCAGCAAAAGGGCAATATTTAACAGCAGAGGTCTCAGGCTTTCATGAATACATATGATCAAGCCTCACTTGCTCTCAGCAGAAAGGAGTCACCCACTGGTGCTGGGCTCAGAGCAAAGCCCAAGAAGACAGGGCGTGCTTCGGGGAAAGCCTTGAGGTGTAGGAAGGACTAGATGTCTTCTTGCTGTTTGCTGTGTGTTCCTTCTACCAATTTTGCAAACCTAGTTCAGAATAACAAAACTTGCCTTCCCTAATATGTATAATTTATAGATGACTATAAATTATTTACAGCTAATTTGTAGATGACTATAAACTGTGACGCTTTTGCCATTATTCTGTTCAGTATTATTCTGTTCAGACTATTAGCAGTTCTAACGTTTCAATTGCTTTCTGGGGAGGACCTATTGTAAGTGGTACTATTCCAGTTTAACCTGTTCCTGGGGAAAAGCAACAACGTTTTCCGTTAGGAATGCACATGAATTCTGAATGTATGTTTCCTTATGGTCCAATCAGTCTTCCACAGCAGCGAAAGGAAATTGGAGCTTGTGTATACAGTGAATTCAGGTGGCTTTTTGAAATATGGTGATGAAGAGATTTTGTTTTCTCAGGTTTCACCCGCCGACTGTGGTTGGTACAATGGGGAGTGCAGCAGCTTGTGCTAAACTGCTAGCTCTTGACCAGCTGAAATGTAAAAACGCCTTGGCTATCGCTGCCTCCTATGCAGGTGCCCCACTGGCTAACGCAGCAACCCAAACGAAGCCCCTCCATGTTGGCAACGCTGCCAAGCATGGACTGGAAGCAGCTTGCTTAGCATCACAGGGCCTTCAAGGAAACAAACAGATCTTGGACATGGAGTCGGGGATAGGTGCCTTTTATACAGATTACAACCCGCAGACTCTGCCAACCTTGCAGTCCTATCCCTGGCTGTTGGGCCAGCAAGATGTGGCCATCAAACGCTTTCCTGCTCATCTTGGAACACACTGGGTGGCTGATGCAGCATCTTCTGTTAGGAGGAAGCTTGTGGAGAGCAGTGACAACTTGCTCCCCCTTGATAAAATTGAGAAAGTCATTCTCAAAGTCCCAGAGGTCAAATATGTGAACAGACCCAGCCCTACCTCAGAGCACGAAGCTCGACACTCCTTCCAGTTTGTTGCATGCTCTGCTTTGCTGGATGGCAGCGTGTCGGTCCAGTCCTTCACCAGCGAGAACATTCACCGGCCAGCCTTGCAGGAGCTCCTCTGCAAGACACAGCTGGAGCACCCTGCTGATAACGCACCTAGCTTTGAGAGCCTCTACTGCGAAGTAAGTGTCACGCTTCGGGACAGCAACACGGTCAGTGACCGCTGCGATACCTTCTACGGACACTGGAGGAAACCTCTGAAAAAGGAGGACTTGGAGAAAAAGTTTCAATCCAATGCCTCCAGTGTCCTGCCTGCAGAAGCCACAGAAGGCATTATAGAGACCGTCTACAATCTGGAAAAAGTAGAGGACTGTTCTGTGTTGAGTACGTTTTTATCCGGACAGTCAGCTAAAGCGCTTTCGGAGAAGCTGCGCTCCCTTTGAAGGTTCCAACCCACAGCTAGATGCCGTTCGCAAAGCAAACACAAAATTCAGGACAAGTTCTTATTTAGTGACTCAAGCACTTTTAAACAGGGCTCCTGTAACAGAATAAATATTGTGGTTTTTGACTAAGTAAATAATTTAGCCATTACGCGCACAGCTCAGTCAGGCTGAACAGAAGATCCTCTGCTGGCACAGTCGGCTTCAATTATCTTTATACCTCTAGAGGCAGAGCACTGCTTGTGTGCGACACAAAAATCTTCCTGCCAAAATTGTCAGTACATTCTGCTTCTGCTAAATAACTCCATAAAGGAAATCCAAATTCTGGAGGAGTATGGAAATGCTGTGTCCGTGAGAAACGTCACTGTGAGAAGGACAGAGAATAAAAGCCTTTATACATTTACTTCTGTAGATTTAGCTCTAAAGCCTCCTTGAAGAGGCCACCTGTTACATCTGAGCTTTTACGTTTGTGCTAAAATAAACAATTAAACGTCCACAGCGACAATCAAATTACCCTGATAATGAATTCTGGGAAATTTTAATTCCTTCAGGAACACAAAGCCTTGCCAGATTGTGCTTCTAAGAGCAGCTGACGACCTTTGTTCACATTTGTAAGATCAAAGCACGTGTTCAAACATATATAAAATGTACCTTCCTTAGAGCACCAAATAATGTATGCAAAAAAAAAAAATCACAAAATAAAACTAATTCATTTTACTAACTAAACCTCAAATTATTTCATTTATTAGAGCAAAACTTGTGTATTCTCCACATACAATGTATTCACTTGTACTTAAGCCTCTGACTCTTGGTTTATGAAGTCGGTTTATCTAGGGGGCTCTGCAAAAATTTCAGAAGTCCATTAGTTATACTTGCTTAAAGACTTATAAGGGAAGAAAAAAAAAACCCAAATAACCATTCTTTTCTTTGTCCCTTCTGATTAGAAAGTAGAATTGAATTACTCACCTATACTGAAGGTATACAGACTCATTTACAGCTATTTCATCTGTAATTGTAGCTGGGTAACACCAAATGTGAATTACTGATAATCATTGGACAAGGAGGGTTCCTACGTTGTCTTATCAAGACTGAATATGCTCAGATTCACGAGAAAAAAAAAAAAAGGGACACCTCACTCCCAACAACCTTCAACACATGCTTTCTATTTTGAAAGAGAAATAAATAGGATAAACTTAGCAACAACCATTTGATGCATTACAGATTTAAAAAAAAAAAAAACGCAAACCAACCAAGAACTGTGACATTTAATAGTTGCATTATTTTATTAATACAATCAAAGGAAGCTAAATGCTTATGCTTAGCTAAACTGATTTCCTTGCAGAAGTCTGTATGCTTCCAGTCAGGCAAGTTTCAGGACTTCTTGTACCATTGTTCCAATTCCATCAAAGATTTCATGCAGAGGAGCCTTGCACATGAAAGCACAGGTAGTAACTATTTTATTGGCTTTATCCACATGGGATTCATTTACATTTTTGCAAATGTGCTTACATCCAAGCTCTGCTATAGCAGATGCTGTTTCAGCATCAGGAAATCTGTAAATAAAAAGACTGTAATTAACATAAAGAGATGATACAGCCATAAAGCTCTGCCAACGTAACTTGAATGAGAGAACTACAAGAATATTTAAGTGACTCTTTAGCTGATGATGACGAGGGAGTCAAACAGACCGCCACTGTCAGGTTCTCCCATCCCCTAGGGACACAAGTGATCTGGTACCTTTGAAAACAAGGCCTGAAATACAGAGCCACGGTATGTCAGAAGGTACGATGCTGTTTTTAACAATCTTTCAGTAAGTTTACAAGATGATACCAAGTGCAGCCGTAACTGGTCCCCAAAAGTTTGAGGGATGCCACCTGAACTTGCAGACAGGTTAGACCTTTTCCAACACCTCCATATAAGGTCTTCCACTGGCATTCTGCAGTTTTGGGTTTTTTCCTGATAAGGCAGGAACAGGGGGGTGGAGGCAATCCCTCACTACTGCTGCTGATATGAAAGTTTTATCAGGAGTTGACAGTCCTTGAAGCAGCACTGACTTCTGCCAGGCACTGTTCTCATCTGCCTCCCCTAAATAGGCCCCAAACCACTGCCACCAGAAAAAACTTCATTCAAAATCTCTGAACAGACAAAACCCACAGATGCAATTTAAATGGCCACTCGAATTACCACAGGGTACCAAAGTTTTGAATGCCAGCTGGCCAGATGCCTGTTCTTCATTTGCGCATTTGTGACATGAATCATGGCCTTCAAAGGCATTGGGTAAGCAAATTCTGTATCTCAATATGAGCTAAAATCTATCACTGAATTACCATGACTGTAACAGGAAAAAAAATAACTTCATATCCTTGGTCACCTGCGTGTTTGCAGAGGTAGGATCCTGTAAAAGTCTCTTTGTTCTGCCACTTTTAGGACTGCCAGATGCCACATCCAGTGACTCATCAGCACCCACGCAGCACAAGAAAGCCAGTGCAGGAACCTGCGTTACCTTCGGTAGCTCACAGAGTGACAGCTTAGGCAAGAGATAAGGCTACCTAGAGTTCTCATGCTGTTAATTGTGATGTGCCTGTGGATGTTGGTATCATAGAACATATCACAGATCAATGTATTTCTGAATTTAGGGATAAATTGTAGCACACAAATCACCTGATCTCACAGATTCAGTCTGTCTGCCCTGACAGTTCTGCGCCTACTATTACTGTGCAAGCGCAAACTTGAAATAAGTGAAAAATGTCACTAATAAGTTACCCAAAGGTTACTGGCACCGGAGACCTCAGACTTTTGCACAGAAGACCGTCCATTTCCTAATCCCAATTCCCATGTAAATTATCTCCATCCATTTCCTTCTTACCTTCCATCTACGTCTTTATCTTGGCCAACCGTGACCTCACAACCTGGAAAGACTTTAGCTGCCAGGACTGGCGATATACAGCACAAACCAATGGGCTTTTTAGCACTGTGGAAAGCTTGGAGTGTGGAGCTCACTTGCTCATTGACAGTGCAGTTCTTGCCATCTACAGCCCAGGAACACAGGTTCTTTGCTACACCAAAACCACCTAAAAAAACCCAAAAAAACAAAAGCTCAAATGCAAGACACTGCTAAAAGCCACTGAATTCAATACCAGAAAGAAGTTCTCCTTTTTTACAATATAATCATGGCATACATAAGACTGTTAAGTTATTATACCGAAAGCTTTCAGCCCATGAAACTTGAAGGGTTTATAATGTTAAAAGTTTAACTGCAGATTTTTTTTTTGTATGTTACGTAGGCCAGAAAGCTTAATCTTGCTTCAATGAGTAACAAATAGAGAAACAGAAAACCTCACGTTCATTTGCTAGTGACTGGAAAAGCTGCACCACTTGATAAGCAAGAGAGGGATTAGAAGAAAGGTCAACAACAGTCAAAAGTAGAGGGTGCAGCTCGCGAGAGTAACGCAAACAGTGGTTTGACCCTCTACAGACATTTTACTCTCAAGTTTTAGTTCAATACTTAAACAATTACAGGAGAGCTTTTTCCCCACCTAAAATTCTTTTCGGACTTTAAAAAAATAAAGGTTTACACAATAAAAACAAAATGGATATTACATAAAAAGGAATCGACAACATACAATATTCTGAGACATACCACTTGTGAATGATAACATAATTTCCTATTAAAAATAATGCTGAATTTGTCTTTCTAGAAATTAGTTACAACAATCCTTTACTTGCATTTAATCTTCGTTTAATTGTACAAGCAGCTTATATTTTACAGCACCTTCATTTGCTGGATTTATAACCATCAGAACAATCAACAAAAGAAGATTATTAGTAAGTGTAACCATCCATTATACTCGATTCCTTATGGAACGTGCACATCAACTTTTCTACAATAAACAAACAGAAACGCCCACAAGTATTTCAATGCACAACATCGAGAAGCTTTGGATTTTTAATATTTTTCCTTTCACTCTTTGCTCACTTTCAAGTGTTATCCGGAATCTCTGAGGTAGGATTTTAATTTTCGAACTTAATAGGTTTTATCTCCCTCTAATAGTTATTACGGCAATCCCCCTCAGCCTGGGTTATAACAGCATGAAATTAACGCGGAAAATATGTGCTAGCCTTTACTCCCTGATCAACCCTGATGTCACCCGCTCATTTTAGCGCCGCCAGTATGTTTCTCTGCGTTATACACACACTCCCTCTGCTGGCCTTCCAACAGAAGACAGCGTAACAACTTCAAAATAAACACTTTGGCACAAGCGTGAACACAATATTTAACACTATTATGAATATTCTGGAAAGTGATCTTCAGCAAGTCGTAATTTCCTAGTGATGCTTTGGTTTCTTCATCTTTAAAGTGATTACAATTATCTCTGTCTGAAAGGCAATTTTGCCGTCTATAAATAAAAAATTATCCATAAACGTATGTAGTATAACTTGATCAGCAGCAGACCAGATACATAATTAAAACAAAATGTACTCACATCTGACAGGGAATACAATCTACTCGGCAACCTACTATTCTGCCAAGAATTTCAGAGGCCCTAAAAATAAGGCATTGCCATGTAACATCAAGTTCTGGCCTTACTTTTCTACTCTAGTCAGTGTTCTTGTCTGCAAGTAGGTACTGAAGTTTTCGCAATCTTTGAAAAGAAGGAACAGTGCGATGTATGACCTAACACCAAAAGAACACTCTGGCGTTTTAAATTAATGAACTATAAATTAATAAACTGAGATGATTTGGCAGCCCATGAGAGCTTGCTAAAACATTTTCTCATCCTCAGGAGAAAATAAGGAAGCAAAAAAGAAAAAACCCACATACCTCTCAAGTTCAAGAGCATAATTTATTCTTTAAATGGATGTAAAAATAAAAAAGTAGGTGAGACAAAGCTGTTATTTCCAATTGAAAAACCACAAATTATTTCCTTTTAAAAGCACTTACCGGGGAAAATGACTGCATCAAATTCACCAGCTTTCAGTTCAGCCAAATCCTGAATGTTTCCTCTTGCCAATCTGGCACTTTCAACTAATACATTTCTTTTCTCTTCTGTTGGACTTCCTTTTAGGTGATTGACTACATCCCTTTGCTCAATATTGGGGGCAAATATCTTCACCTAGAATATAGAGATGAAGTAATTTTGTGAATGTAAACAGAACTCATACATATCGGTCACAATAAAGATCACTTAACGAAAACAGTTTTTGTTCCCAAAGTCTCTTATCCAAGAGAAGTGGATTCCACAGGATGGATCTAATGTATTAAAAACCTAAAGCGGCAGGTGACATATTAGGATGGGTAAACCCGGTCATCCTCCCATCCTATTCCTGTAGTTTTTTGACAGAAGCGCATTCTTACGCCAACATTAAGCTCACTGATTTTGCCAGGGCCTGCCTTCCCTCCACAGATAGCCCCAAGGACAAAGAGAGCACCGCAATTTATACCAGCAGCCGGACTGGACAGGCAGCTGAGACTGCAGAAAGGCTGCTCTTCACTGTTAGGGGATCAGAGCGCTGAGACCTTTACAAAAAAAGTTTAAAAGATAAAGATGCAAACTTCACAAGCATTTCCAGTGCAGACATTAGAGTTACTCGCTTCCCCCAAAGACTGGCAGCAGGAAGGAAAAATAAAACGTGGAAGGACATCTTTTGGTTAGGCACAAAAGGGGAGAGCTGCATCAAAAACACAAAGTTCTGTGAAAGGCGTACCGCAGGGGCTGTTTTCACACATCTGTTTTGGTGCTTGCTTTGCAGCCTTCTCAGTGCTCGCCGCTTCAGTTAATGTTGGAGAGGACAATTCTGTGCTAAATACGGGGGTGCCGTTGTTACCACCAGACACCCGAGTGCGGCTACGGGCAGGCAGCAAGTGGCCACCTTCCGCCACCGGCACGCCCCGGCCGGGGGCCCCCCCCCCCCCGCCCCCCGCCCCCCGCCACCGACAAAGCCCCGAAGGAGCTACACCACAAGACCAGCAGGTGAACCCGAGCGAGGGCGAGTGCCCGGCTTCTGCACACGCGAGTGGAAGGCAGATCACGAATTTTAACTGGGCCCCATCTCCAGCTGCCCCCAGCCGCCGGCGGGGGTCCCG